CAAGCTTCAGGCTATTCCCATAGCCCCAAGCCAGCAGAGTCACTATGCCCAGGAAGTCTGCTCCTACAGACTTGGTATCAGGCCCACCCTAGTATATCCTTTAGCCAGGCAAGAGTCTGTTGCCTGAGACAATACCACACCTGTTCCTCCAGTTCTAGAACCTTGTTGATAGAAGTGGCCAGAGTGAGCATTCTTATCTCATTCTCAGTCTTATGAAGAAGCTTCTAAACTTTCAACTTCTGGATATATTAGTGCATGGATTGTTGTAGATGGCCCTTATTGTGTTAAAAGCACATTCCTTCTATTCTTCATTTTTTATAGCTTTTAATCATGCAGAGATGTTGAATTTTGTCAAATGTATTTTCTGTGTGTGTTGAGATGCCCTTCATTTCTTGGATGTAGTACATTGCATTTACAGCCTTGTGTATGCTGAGCTATGCTTGCATCTATGGGAGAAAATGCACTTGTCTGTATTAGATCATCGTTTACTGATTCTGCTGAGCATGTACCTATGCTCAGCAAGAATGGCGTCTGAAGCTTCCTTGTGCAGTGTCTTTATCTCTTTTGATATCAGAATAATGCGAGGCTCATAGAAAGAGAGTTTGTCTTCAAAGTTTTCAGATTTTTGAGAAGGATTTGTGTCAATCCTTTTCTGTTTGGTAAAATTAAACTGTGAAACCATAAAGTATCAGATTTTTCTTGGATGGGAAAATTTTTATCGTTGACTCAATTTACTTACTTGCAGCTCAGTCTTCTTACTTATGTATCAGATTTCAGGATTTTTATTATGATGTTTATTTTCTCCTCTTTCAAAATAATGTCTAAGCAATTCTCCCTCCAAAGTCACAACAGGTATTTTTAAATTTAAATTTTATTAACATTATATCAACATATAATTCTACTCATGGTGCTGAACAATAATGCGAAAAGGATTTGTTTGTGAAAACTAGAAAAAAATTACAAAATGTTTGAATATATTGTTGACACATGCTTTAGAGAGCATTTTGGAAACTCAAAGTGACAAAACAAAGTTCCACATATCTCTCATTTTAAGAAGATTTGCATTAGACATAAATGCATAAAGATCGTCATTCACAAACACACTTCCTCCCCAGAGAACAAAATACAGAAGCTATGTAGGAGTGGTGCAGATCATTTCTTAATATATATAAAGACCAGAACTGTAGTTTTCTCCTTACAGTACAGATATGGGGAAAAGAAACTCCAATTGCATGAGTAGTCCTTCTCAGTCATTAACAAGTTTCACAGTAAATGGGATTTTAAAAGTAAAAGTAAAAGAGGCATTTTACCCAGGTCCCTCTTTGGTAAGGTATCTATCAACCAGTGATAGAATTGTCCTGGTAACTTAATTCTAAGAGCATCCTGACCAGGTAAGTTGATTACTCAAGGATATATAAGTACTTAAGTTTCAGTTCATAACACCTTGAGAGGGATAAAAATGTACCTTTAGGATGTAATCTTTATCTAATACTTATTTACCTTTGGAGATGAAAATGCTCAGAAACAATTTGATTCTACAGACACTAATATTTAACTACAGTTCAGAACAAAATACTCCTGCCTCAACCTTTTTTCCTCTCAGGTGACCTACCATCAATTTTTTTTTTTTTTTTTTGGTACCAGGACTCAAACTTAGGACCTTGCGCTTGCCAGGCTGGTGCTTATGCCACTGAGCTACATCCCCAGCCCATCTCCCATTAATTTTTGATGTGGCAGTGAGACAGATGACAGAAGTTACTAAAACAGTATGAAGTCTGTGTTAATTCTTGCATCAACTGAGGGAAGACAAAGTGAAGCATCAGTAGTACTGACTGTGCTGCAGAAGATGCTGTATGTGCTCTCACGGACCCCACGTGAGCCTGTAATCATCACCTACTACCAGCATGCGTGGAGGGAAAAATAGAAATTGAAAAATAATTAAAAATGGAAAAAAGTAAATTGCAAAAAATGCTTCAAATAAGAATATAAATAGGAAATACTTCAAATAAGAGTGATAGTAATTTCAATGAAGAGAGAACAGGGAAATTTATATAAAGGAAAAGAACATAGTTAAAGTAGATACAAAACGTGAGTAAATTATTTCTTTTGCCATTGTCTCATAATAATGATGTTCGTTGAAAATATGTTTTTCTAACAGCATTAAACGAACATATTCATTAGTAGCTCATTTTTAAATAGCAACTACTGGAAGTTCTGTACACTGAGAGACGTTTAAATTAAGAGAGGAGAAAGTTTGAAGAAGTCTTGAATGCTTATTGGGAGTGAAATAACATAGTGTAGAAAAATACGATCGAATTAGAATAATACTGCCCAGTTTATTGGGGAGACTTCACATGAGAAAAGGGAGGTGGTATTCCAAGGAAGAGAGTAAAATAACAAAAATGTAATTTGAATTCTAGAAAGAATATCATTCTGTGAAGTATACTTAGAGACAAATGAGGTTAATACACCCATCTTGCTGTGATGTATGAAACAAGAACCTAAGCTCACTGTTAAGAAATAGCAGTAATAGGGTTCGTATTCTCCAATTTCTTTTTTCCTATTTATTTTTCTTGTATGAACAATAGCTGAGAATGTGGTATCATTACCTATCTGTGGGAGAATAAAGATAAATTGCTCCTCCAAAAGTGAGTGAGCGCTTCCAGGGTGAGTGTATACATTTGAGAATTCTGAAGTTATTTGGCCCTAACCTTTCTTTGAATGGCTAAAGTGGGGCAGTGATTGAAACCCAGCTTTCTTGGCTTTGCCTGATATTTTTAAACATGTACAGAATTTCAGGGTGGGGGGGAGCGAGAGTTAATGTTCAATTTATTAGGTTATTTTAGGTTTTTTTTTTCCCTGAAAGTTTTTACAGTACATACTGGGGTGCTTGTGAATTCCTCTGTGAGTGGTGGAAAAAACTGAGGGTTTAAGAGTTGCTCAGCTTGGTGCTGAGGATTTAGCTCAGCGGCACAGCACCTGCATGGCAAGTGCAAGGTCATGAGTTTGATTCCTGGTACCAGAAAAAATACCAAACCGAAAAAAAAAAGAGTTGCTCAGCTTGCTATACATTGGTTATGTAACTATGTACAAATCCTTTCACCTATATAAGTCTAAATACATTTTAGTCATTTTCTTTGTGTTATATTAATATGAACATAATGACATTCATCCATCATTTCATTCTTTTAGTGTTCTTTCTCATCTATTACCAAAGTTGAGCCTCAGTACCTGCAGCTAATTTTACAGAGTGAGATATATTTTGTTACATTTCCAATAAAGAAAAAGCTCTTTTTAAAATAAAATATCAAAATTTCAGAAATCACATTTGAAGTGAATGACTAAATCATACCATGTGACCAGTGGTTGCACGTATAATTTAAAGAATGATTAGATTTGTTCTGGTAAAATTTTAAAATGCTAACCATTAATCATAGTAGTTCTGTATGTGTGAAGAAATTCAATCAGGTGGTAAAACTGTCAGGTAGAGAAATGACTCAACAGCCCTACCCTTCCGCTCAAAGCAACTCAAAATGCAAGTAATATTTTTTAGCAAACTAAACAAATGAAGACAACTCAATTCACTAACTTTGCCTGAGAAAACTCTGAGCCTTACTTAGAGTTTTATTTCATTTGAAACTCTTTCTATACATGAGAGGAGTTATGCAGTGTTTTTAGATATTAATTGTGTTTACATATGATTATTCCTGTGAAAACAGAAATGCACATTAATTCATTTTTAGAAAAAAATAAAAATTATTAATTTCAACCTTATTATTTTATCCAAATAAATTATTTTATTTTTCTTATTGAGCGGCAAAGTATATGTTGTAGGAGACAGATTTGGGACAGTTCAGAACCTATTTTTCAAAAAGTGACATTAATCTAATTCTGATTGAAATGAACGTGTTTGTTTTCAATTTCAGGCTCTGTTGCAAGGTAAATAATTATTCTGCGGGTAAGAATACTAGCTTCATCAGTGCCATGGGGAGTGGTGGAGGAAACTTCAAGAGGGTTTTACTGCGAGGCAAAGTATGAGATCAGGTCTGTAGACGTGTGCTGTCAAAAGGCAGGCACTTTACGGTGATTTGTTGAGAATGAATTGCAGACATTTTAACTTAAAACTATAAAAACAGAAATTGTTGGATAGAATTCAGTGATATCATTTTAGCACTGTACACGAATGTCATAGCTTAACAGTGGGCCATGAATGGACTTTAGGTACTCCAGTCTGATTGGTTTTATATAACGTTACACTAGTCACATATTTTCTTTGACTTGAAATTAAAATCTATCTGTGATAAAGGAAGAAATTGAGAGCTTGATTGAGACGGTCAGACTCAAAACATTTTAACATTTTCAAACATTATTATATTAACTTAAAATTTACTGAATTACTTCCCCTAATATTTATATAGTACTAGGCAACTAATATTCATATTATTTAAATAATATATATGAATATATCTAGGAATTACGAAGAACCTTCATATTCTACTGTGAATGTCACAAGGATATGAACTGAAGGTAAGGCATACTTTTCCACATTCTTTATTTGTGCTAAAATAGATGAGAAAATTGACACAGAAGATAAAGGCATGTCACAGCATGGTGCCAGGAATACAGACTGTATTCTAATTTGCCTGCAGGTAAACTACATTTCTGTCTGACAATTTCATGGAATTGGACAAAATGATTGAATTAGACAAATTTAGAAAAAATGCATACCTTTAATCATGATGCTAAAAGGGATTTGGCTTGTCAAATATAATTTCCTGTATTACAGCCAAACTTTAGTATAATATTCCCCATGCTGAATCTTTTAAATTATATATTTATTAGGTTTATTTGGTGGTTCACTTTTCTGTAGGATACTTGAATGAAGTGAATCAAATGTAATTAGTTCCTCCAATAGAATATAATCACTACTCTCTTCAGGAAACACTTGTAAATATGCTTATGAACTGTGTCATTTCAGGTAATTTTGACTCCACGAGACTATGGACAAAGGGCATAATATCACCGTGTTTATTCTCCTGGGACTCTCCCCCAACAAGAACATTGAAATCTTTTGCTTTGTGTTATTTTTATTTTGCTACATTGCTATTTGGCTGGGAAATGGGCTCATAATAATTTCTGTCGTGTGCACACAGCTAATTGACCAACCCATGTACTTCTTCCTCAATTACCTCTCCCTCTCTGACCTTTGTTATACATCCACAGTGACACCCAAGCTAATGGCTGACTTACTGTCAGAAAAAAAGATCATTTCCTACAATAACTGCATGGTGCAGCTCTTTCTCATTCACTTCCTTGGAGGCATTGAGATCTTCATCCTCACGGGGATGGCCTATGACCGCTACGTGGCCATCTGCAGGCCGCTGCACTACACTGTCATCATGAGCAGGCAAAGGTGCACCTCCATCATCGTAGCGTGTTGCGCTGGGGGCTTCCTGCACTCTGCCAGTCAGCTCCTTCTCACCATCTTCTTACCGTTCCGTGGGCCCAATGAGATAGATCACTACTTCTGCGATGTGTACCCTTTGCTGAAATTGACCTGTTCTAACACACACATAATAGGTCTCCTGGTCATTGCTAATTCAGGCTTAATTGCTTTGGTGACCTTTGTTGTCTTGATGTTGTCTTACTTTTTCATACTGTACACCTTACATGCATACTCTGCGGAGAGCCGCAGCAAAGCCCTTTCCACCTGCAGCTCTCATATAATCGTGGTGGTCCTGTTTTTTGCACCTGCATTATTCATTTACATTAGACCCACCACAACGTTCCCAGAGGACAAAGTGTTCGCTCTTTTTTACACCATCATTGCCCCCATGTTCAACCCTCTGATCTACACACTGAGAAACAAGGAGATGAAGAACGCCATGAGAAAAGTTTGGTGTCATCAAATCCTACTGAAAACTGAGTAAATTTCTGAGTTATTTCTGCTTTTCCTGCATTGGTTCCATGAGACACAAGTACTAACAAAACCATTTTCACCTTCCTGTCATTGTTTGGAAATATAAATGGGCAAACAGTAAAAATTTTCTTTCTTTTGTTTTGTTTCTATATTGGTACTCTATCAGCAGATTAAGGATTATTCTTATTCATCTGCTCAACTATCTTCCTTTATTGTTAAGATTACATGCACATTATGAAATTACCACATTTATTTAAATTTAAAGGATTATACGATGTTGTCCTGAAAAAAGAAATAGATTCTGCACTTTAGTGCCTTGAAGTGCTTTAACTGGATATATTACCTTCAATTTCTATAGCTTCTTACTGAAATATATAATAATACAGGACAATGCATATAGCTCTCATGTGTAATTTATGAATTGCACAACGATGAATTGCACATCTATTACACATTTGTGCAATGAGATATGGGATATGATATGCTACTGATGTAAATTGGCTGTCAATTGTAGCTAAAAATAGTTCTGACAACAGGCATTTTCTCAATGGAGTAAAAATAAAATATAAATAGAAATCCCTCCCAGGCACGTCTTACTAGGTTATGTTAGCTGGATTAACAAATAGGTAGCCACTAATAAGAAATGTTGTCAAACAGGATCTTCTCTGTAGCAGTTAGTTGCTTGCCAGGTTAAGCAGTGAATTCTAGATTTAGCTTGAAGGGAAGAAAACACTGACTTCATGCACCCCCAGTATGGGCAAGAATGCCACATAAAGAACCCATACCGTGCATTAGCCATAACAGAGCTCATCTCCCCATGTACAGATGTGTGCATACAAGTTCACAGATGCATAGTAGAGAAAGCAAGATCTTCAACTGGAATAAATCTGCCTATCTAGAAAAATAAAAAAGTGGGCAGAAATATTTGGTTTTTGTCCACATAACCTTATGCTATGGTTTACAGCAAGAATATCCCACAAAGGTCTCCTATGTTTGACACGGGGCTTTTGTATGGTGATTGAATCATGAGGTTCTGTATTCACCAGTGGATTCATCCATTGGTGAATTTCATAGCAGAATGGACTCTCAGGAGGTGGGGCCTGTTTAGCATGGATCTAGACCTGGGACGCTATGCAGCATACTTAGCCCCAGCTCCTCCTTATTCTCTGCTTCCAACTTCCATGGCTTGAGGGTCTTTTCTGTTAACAGGCAGCTCTACCATCTTGTTTCTGCTTTAGAACGCACATTTGTTTATATTTGTGATACTGGTATGCTGCTACTGTTGTATTTCTTTCGTTGTTTCTCATTTACTACTCTCTTTAAAATAAAAAAAAAATCTCCTTTAAATTTTGGGTATTAGACATTTTGTCCATAGATAGTTAAGCAGCAAATACAACACAGAGTCAGAAATTATTGGATATATGGGAAATCAACGTGAGACGGCTATTGCAGAGTAAAGACTAAAAACACTGCACCCATTGCATTTAGATGCAAAGTTTAATATTCATATATTTACTACACAAAAATAATAATTTAGGAAACATGATATAGTAAAAGGAGTCTTCAAGTTTCCTAGGCTGTTGAAAAAAATAAATAAATTCAATAGATACAAATATTTTTATTATAAATGATGGATAAAACATAGCATCCATATCCTAATAATCAGGTCATTAAAATTTAGATATTAATAAATTACCCAAAACACAGAATAAAGACAAAGAAATGGAAAAAATAAAGCAACCTTAAGATATATTGGAAATGGTGCAAAAGGGAACAAGATGTATATATCAAATTGCAGGATTTAAAGAAAAGTGGGAAAATACATTTCAATATAGAGGAAATTTGAAAAAAAAAAAAGCAAAAAATGCTGTGTAAAACAAAGAAAATATCTGTAGTTTATAATAGAAGCAGAAGCCAGAAGATAATGGGTGTCTAATATACAAGAAATATAACAGTATAGAATTTCTGGTCCACAACACCTGGAAAATCAGGAAAACTTGTTATTCAGTGGAAGAGTAGAGACACAAATCAAAATCGGATTTGTTAACATTAATATAGACATAACTTCTCAAGAAATCAGTAGAAAGTAGAAGAGAGACAGATTGTCAATCAATTAATCAATAGGTAAGAATGTATTGAAGAAAACAATCAAAATGAGTCTAATACAAAAGCAAGAAAAAAGGGAGAAAATTAACAAGTTAGGGAAAATGCCAAAAGCAGCAAAAATAGATAATATGTTTCAGGATAAACATGTAAGACATCAAAGTTAACACCATGGCCTAAATTATCAAGTGTAAGAACAAAGACTATTTACTAGCAAGTAAATAACTTTGCATTGAAGCTAAATTGCATGTATATATTGATAACAATTATTATTATCATTAAGTATTGATAGGATTTGTAATATAAAATATTTACAAATTCCAAATTTGCATGTATATAGAATATAAAGAAGCAACCCCAAACTGTCAGTTGTACTAATAGACACATATAGAGTACTAAACTCAATTATGTTTTATTTAAAAGAATTCAACACATTTTATGCTGGAAAGTAATTCTAAAGAAATGTAAATTATTCATACCAAATGGAAAATATTATTTAATTATAATACTATCATGAAGATATCAATAGCAAAAGGGTGACTTTTAATTTTAAATATACAGTAATTTTAAAAATTCTATTATATTAATATTAAAATAGAATACAAAGCAGAGAATATTTAGAAATAGCAATTCATAAAAGTAGTATGCAATGTGTAGATGAAAATTTGTGGTTTGAAATTCGAGGTGTTTTAAAGGAGAAAATTACATGATTGTCTCAATAGATACTTTATTACAGCTTATTCCCTAATTCACTTTACAAATAGTACCTAGATAATTCTGCAGTACCCCACCCTATTGAGTGATGAGGTCCTGAAAACTCTTCCTTTGAAACCATGAGTTAGAGTGAAGTTTACTTTCATCAGTTCAAATCACTGTTACTTAATATCTTGCTGAATGTCCCAGCCAAGGCAATAAGTTAGACACAAAAAGTTATAAACATTAAATAAGTAAGGAGTGGGGTGCTGTTTACATATATCCTACAGAAAGGAAAAGGATTGCCAGGAAATATTATCAAAAACATGATTTTAAGGTTGAAAATACCGACAATGTAAAGTTTTGGCAAAATTGTGAAGAAACAGGAATTCTCATGCATGCTGGGGAAAATATAAAATGGCACAACCTCTTTTGAAAACAGTTTACCAGTTTATTTTATTTTCTTATTCTTTGTTATTACATATTCCTTCTCTTCTTTCCTTTTTCTTTTGGTGGGGATAGGGATTGAGCACAAGGTCTTAATATCAAACTATATCCCGACTGATATATACATTTAAATATATATATAAAATTTAAATATATATATAATATATATATATATATTCAAACTGGACTCAAAGTTTGGATCCTCCTGCATCTGCCTCCAAGATTGGTAGGATTACAGGTAAGTGCCACTACATCCAGCCAGTTTAGCAATTTCTTAAAAAGTTAACACAAATTTGAATGTAACTCCATAATTCTACTCTTAGGTATGTATTCAAGCAAAATGAGCATATAGGACCTGTACTAGTCAATGCTTATAAGAGTCAGATATAGAAGAATGTAAAAGATCTGTTTGTGTTCTAGAGACCCAAAGAATCCAGTCGAGGCCCTGGATCCCACTGCAGTGTCCTCCACAGCTTCAGCTGAAGGCTTAGAGCCCACCACAATGTCTCATGCAACTCCGTATCAAAGATCTTCACAGGGATGGCACCACAGCCAGTGGTGGAAGCTAGAAAGTCTGCATTGGCAGGGTAAAAGATCTGTGGCACCAGTCTGAGGGTTCTGCACCAGAGCCAGAAAGCCGCACTCAAGGTGAAGACCAGAGCTTCCCTGAAGAGAACAGTAGCCATCTTGTTGACAGGGGAGACCTAAGCGCCTCGACCTCCTTCTCCAAAGAAAACAGCCAAGTTCTCATCAGGAAGACCAGCTGCAACAAAGGTTCTCGTGGGAAGTCAGTAGCACGCAATCTTCCCCTCTTGTTCTGCTTTTATGCCCTTGGTGTGTCTTCCACACCAAGAACCATGGTCCCCAAGCAAGTTGACCATTAACTGATCAGTGAAAAATTGTGTCCATAGAGCAATTATTGATTATAACCACAAGCTGGAAATAATTAATATATCCAGTAACTGGTGAATATATAAGTGTGGAATCCCTATACAGTAGAACACCATTCTTTTCATCAAAAAGAACAAATTACCTCTAGATTATGTGAGATCCAAGAGGACTGAGTAGGTTGCATTGCTCCTTGGTTCCATTTAATTCCTCATGAATAGTGATTTTAGACATGAGAAACACCTTTCTTAGAGAAGGAGGAAAAAAAAATTTAGTGTGTCATTAGCTAAATAATTTATTAATTCAGTGACTAGTGTGTATGGAGCATCTGTTTATGTCAGACTTGGTGTCATGGATATTACCAAGTTGGTAGGATGTGGTTCTGTCCTTGACCTAGAATACAATGGTCCAGTTGGTTCCTCCAAACTCACATCTTGTACTTTAAAATCATCCAGTTCTATCCTTGGCTTGTCTTCAAATGTACAATATACCTTTCCATCTCCTTGGCTTCACATTTTTTGCATTGCTAATTTCAAGTATCAGAATCAGTTTGTCTCTAAAATAATGATAAACATTGGGGGATGCTGTGCTGTAATTTTAATCTTTTCTTTATTCATGCAATCAAAAGTGTTTAAAGCGTACTTATGTTGGGTCACACTGTTCAAATAGATTTCCAGCTATCATAGACTGTGGACTAACTTAGTGAGGTTCAGGCTATATGGCAGAATGAGGTCATCAAAGTACAGAAAGTTTGAAGTGACAGAGGAACCACATTTTTATCAATAGTCTCCTGCTTTTTCAGAAAGAAGGTTATAACTTGCAGGTTATGACTACTGTATTGAGGTCATGTTAAAGTATTCCAGAACTATTCATGATGGTTAATATTTATTGTTAACTTAGTAGATTAGGAAAGGCTAGGGGATTATTAAAGGCACATTTCCGGGATGGTCCTTGAGGGTATTTCTGGATGAGACAACATGTGGGTTAGTGAACTGGGGGGAAGACCTTCTGTGAATATGAGGGGCACCACTCAAAGGGCTGGAGAACCAGGTGGAACAAAATCAGGAGAAACAATCCAGCCAACATTACAAGTTTGTTTCTTCCTAAATGGGTGTGTCTTTCGTTGCTGTCATCATCCACGGACATCATACTACAGTCTTTTCAGTCTCTTGGCATAAACTGACGCCAGAAACTGTGCAGTGCGCTTCTGAGTCCTGAGCCTTGCACTGTGGACGCAGCATGCTTTCTTCCTGTGGTGAAATCTCCGACTTTATTTATTTATTTATTTGTTTTTATTTTATGGAAAAAAGATACGACAAAATTTCTTAGCAACATAATAGAATAACAATAGTTAATGCATTATGTGTTTGTTATGGTTTGTGTCTGGGTGTCCCCCCAAAGCCTCTTGCGGTCATGGGGCAGGCTTTTAGAGTTTGATTGATTATGGGTGTGAGAGCTACACCTGCCCTGGGGTGGATAATTTGCATATGTAAGGAAGGGAAAGAGGCCGCTTACCACCATTCCTCCCTTTTAGTGGTTGTTGCTTTTGCTGTGTTCTGCTACCATGACCTGCAGCCCTCTGCCATGTGCCAGTCTGCCTTGTAACCTGCCAAGTATGGACTGAAACCTCCACAAACTGTAAGTGAAATAAACCTTTCCATCATTAATTTTGGTCGTCAGGTATTTTGTCCCAGGATGAGACAAAAGTAACCAAGATAGTGTTGTTATCTTTAAAGTGGTTGCTCAGGATATAAGATATGGGCATAAAAATTTCTCCAATCAGTATTAGCACAAACCTTCCTTTCTAATGAACGAAGAGACACTAATAGCATAGCTGACTTGCATTTTTTCCCTTTTCCCTACTGTCATTTCCCCTTTCACCCATTCTAGGTCATTTTTTTTTTTATTTTGAACAATTTCTTCTTTTTTTATGATATCTACTGTACATTTTAGAACTCATTTATTCTTTCAGTTTCTCACATTAGAGAGACAATAAGATATTTGCACATGTGAGCCTGATTTATTTCACTTATGAGTATGGTCTCAAGTTGCATGAACTTACCCATAAAAGTCTCAAGTTTATCCTCCTTTATGGGTGAGTAGTACCCCATTGTATAAAAATACCACATCTTGTTTTATCCATTCCTTGGTTGATGGACATTTGGGTTGCTTCCAAGATCAAGCGACTACAAATTTTGCTGCTATAAACATGGGTGAACATATATCACTGTGGCATGGTATTTTTAATTCTTCTAAGAAGACACCCAGAAGGAGTATAGCTGGGTAGAATGGGACCTCTAGTCCAAGTTAATCCACACTGATTTCCACAGTGGTTGCACCACTCTACTCTCTCACCAACAACTTCTTAAACCAAACAGATACTGGTTTTTGTGGCTGTCTGCCTTCAGATGACCATTCTGCAACTGTCCAGATTCTGATTCTGTGCACCAATATAATGAATTATCTCTTACAATTATATCTGTTTATTGAACCCCAAGCAATACAGATTGGTGCCAGGAGTGGGGTCTGTTCTTTTATGGGGTGCTCTTAAGGAACCTTTCCCTTTGTCCTGCTACAAGGTACATGGTTTCATTTTAACAGCACTTATTTACTCAGC